TTTTGGAGGCCTTTCAAGAACTAAGTAATATTTTCAAAAATTTTGCTCCCTGTAGGTCATTCTCTTTTATAGCATGAAGAAGTCCATAACATAGACGGGGAGATCATAGATGCTTTTACCGTTCTACGAGTCGAGATTGTATAACCCAAAAACAGAGTGGGTTCAAACTATAAATTGATTCATGATCTAAGTAATTTCACTTCATAACTCCAACCTCAAATCGTAACTATTAACTTCTTATTTCTCTATTTTGATATTCTTTAAACCCAATATTTTGATAGTCTTATATAAAATATAAAAAAAATATATGTTAATTATGTGTATCACGATTCATGACAACGAATCAATTAAATCTACTCTCATCGTACCATATATTAAAACAAATATCGTAACTGTATTCATGCCTGTACCACATATTAAATCAACCAACTATCTAAGTAACATTAATTCGCAATATGTTCTAGTCAACTTGTTAGAAATTGTCAAATTTATGACTCTATACAGGATGCAGTATTTAATTCCTCTCCCCCTACACACTTGCTTGAGCAAATTCATAGCTTGTTTTGTCGTTTTAGCTCCTCCATAGGTAACTTGACTACATTAACTACACTTTTCATGGAAGAGAATAGACTGGCAGGAAGTATACCTCCAAGCCTAGGAAACTGTCATAACTTGTTGGTTATAAACTTTACAAGTAATAACCTTAGTGGCACCATCCCTATAGAGGTTTTCAGTCTCTCTTCTCTTTCGATTTCTTTTGCCATGGCTCGTAATTACCTGACTGGTTCATTGCCACCGGAAGTGGGCAACTTGGTAAATCTAAAGGAATTGTATATGTCAGATAACAGATTGTCAGGTGAAGTTCCTGGTACCCTAAGCAGATGTCTTAGCTTGGAGCTTCTGTTAGTGGGGGACAATCTGCTTCAAGGAACAATTCCTGAATCTTTGGAAGTTTTGAAAGGTCTTCAAGAATCGACTTTTCACACAATAACTTTTCTGGGCCTCTCCCAAAGTTGATTGGTAAGTTTTCATCTCTCAAGAAACTCAATCTCTCCTACAATAACTTTGAGGGGGAAGTGTCAACAGAAGGGATCTTTGCAAATTTAAGTGCATTTTCAGTTCTTGGGAATGATAAGTTATGTGGAGGCCTCCCAGGTTTGAATTTGCCTGGATGCTCTCAAGATAAATCCCATTCATCAGGAAAACTTCTTTCCCCAAGAGTAGTAATCCTAATAATTGTATCCATCGTAGTTGGAGTTATACTGTCATGTGCTTTCACTGCTCGGTATTTTATAAGGAACTCCAAAAAGAGGCCTTTAACTGCATCTTCCACTAATAATTGGCGATTGGGCGTTTCCTACCAAGAACTCTTAAAATCAACTGATGGGTTCTCTGCAAACAACTTAATCGGTTCAGGTAGTTTTGGATCAGTATACAAAGCAACTGTCAATGGTAATGGTGCAACAGTGGCAGTGAAAGTACTAAACCTTCAGCAGCAAGGGGCCCTCAAGGATTTCCTAAATGAATGCACGGCCTTAAGAAGTATAAGACACCGTAATCTCCTCAAGGTCATAACTGTCTGTTCAAGTGTTGATTATCAAGGTAATGACTTCAAGTGCATAGTTTCTGAGTTCATGGCCAATGGAAACCTAGACCAATGGCTACATCCGGGAGGTGATGAGCAAAGTCAAGCTCGAAGATTGAGCCTTCTCCAGAGACTAAACATAGCTGTTGATGTTGTTTCTGCATTGGATTATCTTCATCACCAGTGTGAAACTCCAATTGTTCACTGCGATCTAAAGCCAACCAACATACTCCTAGATGATGACATGACAGCCCATGTTGGTGACTTTGGATTGGCAAAACTCCTCCTTGAAGAACCAAATGATGAACCTATAAGTCAGAGCATATCGGCAAGGCTCAAAGGTTCTTTTGGTTACGTTCCTCCAGGTATGAAATTCATCTACTATTGTTAAAACTATATCTAACGATTACATTTTAGCCAAATCAGAAATGTTTTGGAGTTCATGTATTATTAAGTGAAAGTAGGCCTATGCATGGGTATGGGCCCAGAAAATCTCGACTGATTCTTGCTAGGCCAAGACTGACCCATTCAGCCTAAGCCGGACAGTCTTGATACGGGCCATAGTGCAGCCTTTAGCATGTGGGTCAGTTTACACATATCATGACGAATTCCCTCCTCGATCCATCAAAAATAGGTCATTCACGTCGGAACTAATGTATTTATGAGGGATAAATTACTCATGACCTTATCTCAAAGGATTGTCAAAATTCAAACTCAGGACGCGCTTGAGCTACCCTTCATAGTGTGCAGGACATGTTTGTGTGATTAAAAGCAAATGTACCCTTTCCTGCCTACTTTTACAAGCGTATATGGCTCACAATGTTCTTACATGTATGAACTTTTGAATTGCAGAGTATGGTATTGGTGGGCAGGTCTCTACACTTGGAGATGTATACAGCAATGGGATACTCCCGCTCCAAATGATAACTGGTAAAAGGCCAACAGATGACATTTTCAAAGATGGTCTGAGCATTCACAACTTTGCTAAAATGGCTTTGCCTGAAAATATCATGGAGATAGACTCATCGCTGCTCTTGGCAGGAAAAGGAGGCAACTTAGATGAAAACGGAAACGAGGAGAGAGAAATCGTAAGAACTGGTGGTGAAGATTCGCAACGCAGTGGTGTCAGTAGAATGGAGGAGTGCTTGGTTTCTGTGATAGAAATTGGACTTTGGTGTTCTGCTGACTTACCTGGTGGTAGGATGCCAATGAGTATTGCTGTGAACAGAATGCACAAAATTAGAAATTCAATTTTTTGATGTTAAGAGGAAGATCAGATCAGAGAGAAGAACAAAATAGGAAACAACAGCACCAACCTACGGTGATTGCATTTTATTAATTTGAGGAAGATTTCAATATTCTAGGTTTGTACCCTCAAAAATTAAAATTTGTATATTATGTTCAAAATAAATCAAAAATATTGTAATGTGACATTTCTGCTTAGTTTTTGTTATTTTTCCGTTAAAATTCAACCCGTTGACACTAACAAAAAGCTAATAAAATGATCAANTCTGCTTAGTTTTTGTTATTTTTCCGTTAAAATTCAACCCGTTGACACTAACAAAAAACTAATAAAATGATCAAATTGCAACACTTTTGATACATTAAGGATATAGCGTAAAAATTTAATCTTTAAAAATACAAAGTAAAAATCTTTAAATCTTTTGGGATATAAAATACAATTCATCCTAGTTATAACCCGTGCCGAAGGCACGATCGAACATAAAATTCGAGTCTCAAAAAAATCGATCTCATTATATTATATAATAATTTTTAATTTCTTCATTTTTTTGATTACATCATTCAAAATTTATTTTTACCCATTATTTTCTTATAAATATTAACAAAAAATTTTAAAATACTTAATTCGATAAAAATTTTTCAACATGTTTATACTAACATGTATAGATAATGTATAAAATAAAAAATATGTTAAACAATAAATTAATAAAATATTAAATAATTGAACATGTGATAGAAATGAGTGATGTGATGATTTTGGAGGAAAAAATGTCTAGGGGATAAAATTTTATTTCCTATGTATTTTATTTTATATATAAGTTATGAATTGTTATCTATCTGACAGTATATATATTTTGAAGTTCAAAAATGCCGAATTCAGAAAGGTGGAGTGATTTATTATAGAGATAATGGGATATGAGTATTTTTTTTTTAAAATTTATTTGGCTTTAAGTACTACCTTCAAATTTATCTTCCTTTAAATTTTTTTTTTATCAAATAGTTATCAATAAATACACATTTTTAAATATTTTCAAATTCTTTTTAAAATATATTTAATAATTACCCCTACCATAAATAGTGCAAACCTAATTGACAACATTAGAATGTGAGACTTTCAATTTTTTTTTTAATATTTGTGTATCATTTGAATTTCAAAATTATATATATATATACACGCACACACATATAAAATAATATCAAACAGTAATACGTTCAACAAAAAAATAGTAATATCAAACAATAACACGTTTAACAAAAAATAGTAATATTAAATAATAGTTTAGTTCTTACTCTTTACTGACACTATTTGGGCACTATTAATGGGGCATTACATGATGTCATTGATTGAACTTCCATTGTCATTATCTCGTGTCTCTCTTTGATGACACTGTTTGCATGACAATTTTTCGAGTCCCTCCTTAAATGTAATTCTTTGAGTAGACAAATATATATTGTTATCATTTAGGATCAATCTATTGTTGTCACTCTTTACTAATACTACTTGGGCACTATCAAGGGAGCATTATATGATACCATTGATTGGACCGCATTGTCATTATCTTGTGTCTCTCTTTGGTGACACTATTTGCATGACAATTTTTCGAGTCCCTCTTTAGGTGCAACCCTTTGAGTGGACAAATATATATTGTCATCAATTATGAACAATCTATTGTTGTAACTCTTTATTGACACTACTTTGACATTATCAAGAGAGCATTACATGATGTCATTGATTGGACCCCCATTGTCACTATCTCGTGTCTCTCTTTTGGTGACACTGTTTGCATGACAATTTTTTGAGTCTCTCTTTAAATACAATTCTTTGAGTGGGCAAATATATATGTTACTATATATATATATATATATATGTGTGTGTGTGTGTGTGTGAAATTTTAAAATTCAAATGATACACAAATGTCAAAAGGAATCTTGAAATTCTCACATTATAATCTTAAAAATCTCACATTCAACTAGGTATGCACTATTTATGGTAGGGATAAAATGACATTTCTGACTTTTTTTTAGTAGATGTACTTATATCCCAATAATTTTAAAAAATGTACTTTTATTCTATTAAGTTTTTAGGGAGGTACTGACCTCCCTAAGCCCCTTTAATATAAGAGCAATGCTATATAACCAAATTTCGCAATCTAAATTTGCATCCCAAATTAAGGGGATCATTAGATCATTAGGTCCTATTTAAAAAAATTGATGGGATCTACTCATTCAATGATCCCCTTTATTTGAGATAAAAAATTAGGTTATAAATTTGGGGTACATAATATTTTTCCTAATATAATTCCCTTGCAATTCAAGATATAGGAGTAGATCAAAATTAATTTCAAATAAAATAGTTAAAAAAGTGATATGATGGTCTACGATCTTCTTTAAAAAAAAAAAAAAAAAAAAGAATTCATGTAGCTAAACATGTACTTAATGATTCTGTTTCATTGAGTTGGAGAAAATATTCATTACAACAACAGTGATATTATATTGTAATGTGATGTGGTATTATTAATTAATAATATTAAAATAAATAAATAAATAGATTTCACAAAAATTAATAATTAATTTGTCATGGAAATAAATAACTCCTCACTCTTTTTTTATGTAAACGCAATTTGAGTTTTCCTTATCCATTTGAAATTTTATTATTTGTTGATGATAGNAATAAATAACTCCTCACTCTTTTTCCATGTAAACGCAATTTGAGTTTACCTTATCCATTTGAAATTTTATTATTTGTTGGTGATACCATGTCATCGTGGTGTATTGAATATTTACTCATTGAGTTAAAATTTAAAAAAATAAAAAGTTTGGTAGAGCATACCCATAAATCCAGGCTTTTCAAAAAAAGAAAATAATATTTATATTTAATTTATGGGCCTAATCAATTTGAGCTGTTAGATTAGATGTAGATTTAATTTAGTATTGAAATTTATAATTAATTCAATAACGATGATGAATTAAGTTTCTATAATATTGTTATTCAAATGACAATTACAATGGACTGCAAGGATTGTTCCCTATAACTTGGGAACACAAAGTTAGAATCGCTAGTAATCGCAGATCAACATGCAATGGTGAATATGTATCCGGGACATGTACACACCATCTGTCACACCCTGGGAATTGGTTTCGCCTGAAGTATAAAAAGTGTTAATAGTAATTTTTAGTCTCTAAAATTTACATATTTTATTAATTTAGTCTTTAAACTATTAAATTTATCAATTTAATTTCTAAAATATTTAATTAGTGTTTAAATACAAACAGACCGTTGATTTTTTTTTGACCAAATGATCACATTATACCATCTGATAACATGACAAATGGTTACTTTCGTTAAAAAATTTAACAAATTGTCTGATTAGGCACTAAAGTAACATAAATTAAAATTTTATAGACTAAATTGATAAAATTAATATACCTAAAGTAACATAAATTAAAATTTTATAGACTAAATTGATAAAATTAATATAATAAAGACTAAACTGATAAAACGAATTTACTTTAAAAAACAAAAATACTGTTAACTTTTTAAAAAATAAATAAAACATAGATTTAATGTAATCATTCCATGTCTACAATACTAAAATTGCCACCGAAATGTGACATTAATGTACCTCTTACATTTGATTTGTTTCATGCATTGAAAAGCTCACATTTGGTTATTTTTTCTGGGAAAGTTTACGATACCGCCGTTTATAATTTTTGTGTTAAAATTATAATTTAAAAGAGAGAAGTTATTACTGTTCAAAGAAAATTTATGATCGATAAAAGGGTCATGATCGATTACAAATACATATGATCGATCATGAACTTTCTATGAACAGTTGTAACTTATACTTATAAATTATAATTTAATTTTTAAAAATTAAAACTTTGTTATCAATTTCAATCAATCATAATCTTTAAAAATTATAATTTATACCTCAACAAAAATTATAACTTTAACTCTAAGCGATCATAAATTTCGATACGATTCCTTCTTCGGTGCTGTAACCCTTTCCAATTTTCTTCTTCTGTTTTCGGAGAACAGTTTGTTGACATTCTAATGTTAGATTCAACTCCCGGTGACACGCAGTGTGCCACCTGGTTCTTGATCCGTGCTCTACCAGGACCCATCACTACCCTTTATATTTCTCCACTTACTCTGACTCTGAGCCACCAATGTCTCAGATAAAACAAACTACAAATTATCTATATACCCCATAGCTTTCTTCTCTAATCCTTCGTAATTTTCTTTATTTTGGAAGCTGAAATCCTTGTTTTTTTCTGTTTCTTTCTCTTCCTCGATTTCAAAGTCGCAAAACCCAACTGGTAATAAGCTCAGGAGTGAGTGATGAAGATCTTAACGAGCTCTTCTTCAAGGCTGTTTTCAAACAACTACAGAGGGGTTTTGTGTGCAAGAGGTATAGTTCTTAGCAGAACCCAAATTTGTTCATTTGGGTACCCGAAAATTGTCGATGTTAGCTTCTCCCTTTCAATTTCTCTTCGACGCGGTACCATTCACCCCGTTGTTTTGGCTTCTTCTCTGTCCTCATCAGACATCCAGGTCTCTCTCTCTGAACTGTTTTGTTCCCACTTCTATGATGTGGATATGATTTTGTTTGATATCTCAGAAAGGACAAAAAGTTTAATGCTTGAAGTTTGAGAACTAATTCCAGACCACTAGAGGGAAAAAATAGCTGATTAGCTGTTGTGAAATTCTTTTTTCCTTTCATCTGTTATAGAAACATCATTCGAAAGTTGTAATAGTTCATTCTTGTGTGTCAGATTAATGAGACACCATTGGCCTATATTGGTATTTGAAGAGTCAATCATTATGGCTTGTGATAGATATATGGTGATTACCTTCTACCTTGGATGTCGAAAAATTATACTGATTTTGCTTTCTGTTCACTTTGATGCAGACACAATTGCAGGAAGATGAGCCACAGATTGAGGATATATGTAAGTTCAGATTGTTCGACAAGTTTCCATCTGAGAAACTATTTTTGTTTTCGAAAACAGTTTTTGAGTGAAAAGTTGGTTGGCCAACTATTTTTTATTTTTGTTTATAGGGAAACTAAGAACAAAAAGTGGGTATATTTAAAGAATATGTTACGACTGTTTTGGGTATTTTTTGGGATCACCTTTCCAAAAATTTAGAAAATACCACCACCACCACTACATTTCCACCACCACCACATTTTTATTTTTATTGTTTTCAAGGTTATTGTCTAAATAAGTTTTATTGTTGTCTATTTAGTAGAACTGTTTTTTGAATTATATAACCAAACAAATTCTGTGATACAAAAAATATCAAAACACTCTTTTCTAAAATTCTTCGGTTTTCAGATATTGTTTCTCTAGACACAAACCAAACAGGGCATTATATTCTGCTCTCTTGTTTTGTTTTAACATTTGGTCATTTGACGATGGTCTCATCATGTGCAGCTCAATCCCAAACTGTTCATGTCAAATTTCAACTAAATAGAAAGTGCTCATTTGGCCATCAATTTCTCATAGTAGGGGATGATCCTATGTTCGGGCTGTGGGATCCATTGAAAGCTGTACCTTTGAACTGGTCTGATGGACATGTATGGACTGTTGAGCTGGTAAGAAGGAACTATCCATTTTCATGGATGATAGCAGAGATTTATGATCAAAGGTAATTTCTGATATGGTATAATGGTCTCATTGGTTTTAAATAGGATATCCCAACTGCAAAATCGATCAAGTACAAGTTCATAATGAAAGCAGGCAATGAGACTATCCTCTGGCAACCAGGACCAGATCGAGTTCTTCAAACATCAGAAACGAAGAAGACGTTAACTGTTTGTGAAGATTGGGACAATGCTGAACTTCAGAACATCATAGAGGAGGAACCAACTACTAAACATCATGAGGAATCCCTTATTGATTCAGAGAAGCTGATCATTGCAGAGAACTTGATTCAGCCAAGAGAAAGCCCCGGCACTGATGAAAAGAAGGATATAACAACCACTGATGGCTGTGAAACACCAATAGAGAAGCCATTGGATGAGAAACCTATGGCTATTGTGGCAGATAATATCACTGAACCAATGAAAAAACCCCAGATGAATACAACTGCTGAAGTGTCTAGTGCTATTTCAAACAAGGATATGGCTGCAGGTGAAAAGAAAGATATAACAACCACTGATGGCTGTGAAAAACCATTAGAGAAGCCATTGGATGAGAAACCTATGGCTATTGTGGCAGATAATATCGCTGAACCAATGAAAAAACCCCAGATGAATACAACTGCTGAAGTGTATAGTGCTATTTCAAACAAGGATATGGCTGCTGGCGAAAACATTATGGGAAACAATGGTAGAGCAGTGAACTTCGAAAACTTGGCAAGCACAAAAAAAGCTGAGGAAAACCTAGTTTCCTATGAAGAAGTTCCTGTTTTAGTTCCGGGTTTGTATCCATTCCCAACAGCAACTATTGAAGAAGCGCCCCTGGATGAAACGGAGAAAAACATTGAGGCCAATGCCTTGACTGGAATTGACAAAGCCAAAGACCTCAATGATGCACCGAAGGTAATTGCTTAATGTAGTAACATCTTCTCTTTAATTTTGCAAGAAAATAGAAATGGATCTTGCCTCCAAATCTGTTAATCAACGCTCATAAAGGACCCGAGATTGCTTTTTGCTAAAGTAGACTCAGTTCCAGGTTGTATCCTCTTCAGATTAATAAGATCATTCCAGGAAGACATGGCAATAAGGCAGTTACTAGCACTTCTCTGATGTTGTACTACTACATCTGTACTGATCAAATAAATAATTTAGAAAAAAAACTATTGCATCTGCATCAACATGAAGTAGAAACTGTGGTTATTTGAAAGAATAACAATCTAATTAACCTACCCTAAGCAATCACATGAAAATCTAAACAATTCTTAAGACATACAGATCTGCCCTCATAAAATGGGGGGCTTAAGTTGTAATAAAAATTGGCATGCATTTTCAAAACTGAAAGAAAGTGCCACAGGGAAAAGGGTAGAAATTTTTTGTTACAACTTTGATACAGAACTGATGACATTTGCTAGACCATTCACTTTCTACTGCTTTGCCGTGAATAGTGATAAATGCCAAGTCTTACATGACATAGATTGTCGATTACAACTTCCAGTTAGTAATGCCTGCATAATTAATTTTGCAGATGCACATTGTGTGACAATCTGTTTTTCATTTTTCTTGATTTTTTGATTCTCCCATGAACTGTAAACAAAAAAAGATCCAGTTAGATCGGAAGGAAGAACATGGCAATGACTCACCACGTTCAGTAGAAACAACTGAGATGATGCTCAAAGAGAAACAAGAATTGCATGACAACCAACATGTGCAGATCCCACAATTAGCAGAAGAACAAGACCAGCCCAACATAAAGCCATTGAACAACGGTGTCTTTGACAACGATATTCAATGGGGTCGAAGGACTCTGCTTGAGTTCCTTAGTAATTTAGGATTCAGATAGCATCAGCTGAAGTTACAAGCAGGAAGAAAACATTTTCTTTATTAGTTTCATCCTGTTGTTGTGTGCTACCTCTGAAGATTCCCAGATTGTTATTATCTCCCTCTGATGCTTGTGGACCATGATATTTTCTCAGGGTTATGTAAAAATTGAGTTCTGTATTGCGTTATGAAGATTTCTTAAAAGCTATACTAGTGCCTGGTCCTGTAAACTTGTTCAAAAAATAATTGATTGTGTTCCGGTGTTGATGTTAAAATCAATACATCCAGAGAGCAGGAACAAAATCTTATGCTTTTCCAATTTCTAAACTTTCGACTCTCACACGCAGTAGGCAAGTTGGGAAGTTGTGAGAATTATAAAGAGCAGGAGACTCCTCTTATCAAGGGGTCTACAGAGTCATGGACACGCAGTTTTACCTCGTTTACAGAGAGGTTATTTTGTTAGCTTAAGCTTATAAAGCTCTAGTCGCATTAGTAAATAGCCTTGTCATTGTGGGAAGACCCCCTTGTAGTTGTAATAATGCTTTAGACAAAAAAACAAAAAAAAAATGTAAACATGACCAAAACGGCAGTCGAGTTGTGTTTGGAAAGCAACGTCTCAATACTAGAAATTCGGTACTAAATCAATCTAGGCATGGCGTGTTTTCTACTTGAATTCGTTTCTTTCAAACCCCTTATTTCCTCGGTTTAAATTAAACGGCTCTCTCGCCCAGGATATGTAAACCCTTACTAGATTAGTTAAATTGTATACTAGCTTACCAAGCCAAAAATCATTCGAGCTTAAAACTCATAATGAACTTTTTATACATGCTCAAAGATTGGTTCGTTCATCATTGGTTGCTTAAACCATAGTTTAGTACTTTAGTGAGCAGGTGCGACAGATTAGTACTTTAGTGAGCAGGTGCGACAGACAAGGGAAACAAACAGGTTACACGACTTCAATAAAACACTGAATTTAAAGACAAATAACTACTATACTAGTGAAATGCTGAGGTTAATCACACCGGGTTCTATCTCTCAAAGATCAAAATTTTTAATTTACACTCTTAAATATATAAATTTGTATCAATGTATACCTGAACCTAACAGCCGTTTAAATAAATAAATTATACCTACACCCCTCAAATTTATCACTTAATTATTAGACCTCCTCACATTTAAAATATTACACCTAAACTCCCTGACATTCCTACACCCTTCAGATTTGTCACTTAATCACTGAATCCTTCACATTTAAAATATTACACTTAAACCCCCTAACGTTTGTGCGTCTGTAACAGAACTCTTGTCGTCAATATCCATTAATATAACCGTTAAAAAACATGATGTCATCCTAATAAACAACAATAATTTTTATGTTATCCTTTATTTTGTAAGTCTATTGTACTTTAAAGTTCAAACTTATCTTTTAAATACTCAGTACAATATAAGTATTATATAATGTTCAAAAGTATTGATATTATATAATATTTTTTATATCCAATAAATACATAACTTGAAGAGAATTATTTAGATGTCCAATTGGTGGAACACTTTTAATCATATTAAGATTCTCAGGAGTGTAAGTGTAATATTTTAAATGTAAAAAATCCAAATAATAAAGTAACAAACATGAAAAAGTTTTAATATAATTTACCCATTTAGTTTTAAACGATAAACTGCACGGATATTAACTTCAAATACACATTGATACAAATTTATATATTTAAGGTTATAAATTGAGATTTTTAATCTTTAAGGGTATAAATTAAGATTCGAGAGATCTTTCATGGTACAATTTGCAATTAAGCCTAAATTTCAATTACAAAGCCACCAGTATCTGATACCTATTTAAGCACTGTTGGCAGTACCCTCCAGAAGCCTCATCTAATCTAAAAAGGACGTGCAACAAACCAATTCAGGAACAGACATGTCGAAAATGAACTGTTTGTCGCCTACACTGTGATTGCTAAAATGAACAAACTTACGAAAACATACAAGTTGAGAGGGCACTGAACCCACGACAGCCACAAAATAAAGAGAGAAAATAGGGCATCAAGAAAAAATAGCCCACCTTCCAAAGAGAGAACCTGGGTAAAGAAAAGATCTATTCACCTCAGCCGGAGACTCAGGTTTGAGAGGGAAAAAGAAAACAATAATCATACAAAACTCCAGCTGCTCAAAACCTTGGTTAAATTCGCATTTTTATTCCTAATGCTGCTTCCCTGCTATTGTATGCCCATTCTTTGGATGTCGCGAGAATGGTATACCTTGCGAACCACGCAGCAATTCTTCTTTCGATCTTTTAGATGGATTGGATGGTGATAACCTAAAACATGCAGGGAAGCTGAAGTAAGAATACATAAATGTATATAAAATACACGTAGTCAAATGCTCCATGTCCTACAGTGCAAAATTTCAGAAAAATGATGCATCGGATGCAGAACACCTACGCATTTGCAATAACAGGACTATAGAGCCCATGGGATTTGTATGTGCGTTACACAAAGTGAACACAGTACCTATAGAGAGTATCAAAAGGCAGTTCAAAACTCAAGACACTACATGTAATATGCTTGGGATCCCACACTTAACAACATTTATACAGAGATCACTAAAAAGAAAATAACATACGTTTACTTTGCAACCGTCAAAGAAGCCTATCTTATCCTCAAATCCCTTCCAATTCCATTCCTCTTAACAGCCCTAAACAGCAAGTCTCAGCTTCTACTTTATACACTAAACCGCAAGTTTCAGCTCCATTCATAAAAACCCTACACAATCAATTCAAATGCATAGCTAAAGGATTGATATATGATATCAACAATTCTTTTTTTCTAATTGGTCGCACCAGTATTCGGTTCTTAGAGGGTTGAACTTGGTAAAGACCCACCATCCAGTAATTGCACAAGATGGAAACCTTCAAACTGGAATCCACATTCAAATGTGCAGGAGCCCAAGCAATGCCTCACTTAGCAAATTATGTCTATTGGTTGAGGTCATACAAACAGCATTCATGATGTGACATTGCACATTTCCACAATCTAGAACTTCTCAAATCACCATGATGTGCAATTAATTTTACATGAAACTGCATTAGTTTTTGTATAAAATATCTCTTATCCATTTTCCAGGGTAAGTAAAAAAATTTCCGTGTCAGATATCAATATATGAGATGTGACCCAGCAAATAGCCCTCCACGCAGGATTTAAAAAATTGCCATGGCAGATGATGAAAGGTTTGGCTGCATTAAGTTAATTGCCTTACTGTAAGAGTATTGCCATAGCGAGNGTTCATCATTGGTTGCTTAAACCATAGTTTAGTACTTTAGTGAGCAGGTGCGACAGACAAGGCAAACAAACAGGTTACACGACTTCGATAAAACACTGAATTTAAAGACGAATAACTACTATACTAGTGAAATGCTGAGGTTAATCACACCGGGTTATATCTCTCAAAGATCAAAATTTTTAATTTACACCATTAAATATATAAATTTGTATCAATGTATACCTGAACCTAACAGCCTTCACATTTAAAATATTACACCTAAACTCTCTGACATTCCTACACCCTTCAGATTTGTCACTTAATCACTGAACCCTTCACATTTAAAATATTACACTTAAACCCCCTAACGTTTGTGCGTCTGTAACAGAACCCTTGTCGTCAATATCCATTAATATAACCATTAAAAAACATGATGTCATCCTAATAAACAACAATAATTTCTATGTTATCCTTTATGTTGTAGGTCTATTGTACTTTAAAGTTCAAACTTATCTTTTAAATACTCAGTACAATATAAGTATTATATAATGTTCAAAAGTATTGATATTATATAATATTTTTTATATCCAATAAATACATAACTTGAAGAGAATTATTTAGATGTCCAATTGGTGGAACACTTTTAATCATACTAAGATTCTCAGGGGTGTAAATGTAATATTTTAAATGTAAAAAATCCAAATAATTAAGTAACAAACATGAAAAAGTTTTAATATAATTTACCCATTTAGTTTTAAACGATAAACTGAACGGACATTAACTTCAAATACACATTGATACAAATTTATATATTTAAGGTTATAAATTGAGATTTTTTATCTTTAAGGGTATAAATTAAGATTCGAGAGATCTTTCATGGTACAATTTGCAATTAAGCCTANGCATAGCTAAAGGATTGATATATGATATCAACAATTCTTTTTTTCTAATTGGTCGCACCAGTATTCGGTTCTTAGAGGGTTGAACTTGGTAAAGACCCACCATCCAGTAATTGCACAAGATGGAAACCTTCAAACTGGAATCCACATTCAAATGTGCAGGAGCCCAAGCAATGCCTCACTTAGCAAATTATGTCTATTGGTTGAGGTCATACAAACAGCATTCATGATGTGACATTGCACATTTCCACAATCTAGAACTTCTCAAATCACCATGATGTGCAATTAATTTTACATGAAACTGCATTAGTTTTTGTATAAAATATCTCTTATCCATTTTCCAGGGTAAGTAAAAAAATTTCTGTGTCAGATATCAATATATGAGATGTGACCCAGCAAATAGCCCTCCACGCAGGATTTAAAAAATTGCCATCCTTACTGTAAGAGTATTGCCATAGCGAGCATCCATATCCCACCCTCATCGATCCTCTCTCTCTTAATTATCAAAGTAATACCATTTTTTGCTAGCAACTATGCAGTGATAAATTTTATCCATAAGCATCAACCCTTTATAATATCTTACCTGGGAGAGTTGGCACGCTTTTGCACTTGCTGAATCATTACGTCGGAGGAAGTACTCCCAAGTGCCACTTCAGCACCCTGTAAAGCAGTTTTAATAGATACAGAAGATCATATAAAGGCATTTTGAAACAGAACAATGAAAAGCACATACTGCAGGGAACCATTGTGATTTAAATTTTTTTTGAGAAATGGGAAAGGAGGAGAAATACACTTTCTCCACTGCATCAGCAATGACCTATAAAATAACAAATGACTTTTTATAAATAAATATTTACATTCAAAGAGAAAATGTTAGACAAATTCTAAACCATTCCATCCCATTGGGAAAAGAGTAGCTGCCACACAACTTCTTTCCTGAGCATAGTCAAGTAATGCTTATTCANTTTTTTGAGAAATGGGAAAGGAGGAGAAATACACTTTCTCCACTGCATCAGCAATGACCTATAAAATAACAAATGACTTTTTATAAATAAATATTTACATTCAAAGAGAAAATATTAGACAAATTCTAAACCATTCCATCCCATTGGGAAAAGAGTAGCTGCCACACTACTTCTTTCCTGAGCATAGTCAAGTAATGCTTATTCAAAATAGAACTTGTTATAAAGTTCAAGATGGATCACAGGAAGCGGAAAAAGTGGAGACCAAATTAAAAGTCATTGTCTGCCTATTGCAGAAAGGAAGGAGAACAATTGGGTGGAAAACAGCACCACCATCATTAAGTGTCACTCAATCACTCAGATATCCAACCCCCCCCCACCCAAAAAAAAAAAAACACACACACACACACACACAAAAATAATAAAAAAGAGAAGCAGGTGGCTAAACAAACTCATAAAAATACAAAAATTAAAAAAGAAAAAAGTCGGCCACCCTGGAGTACTTGGATAATGGGTAGAAACTAGGGACTGGTCACCAAATTCTTACCTTTAAAACACGAAATAAGTAGCATATCCAAGGCAGCGGTAGTGAACATGTAGCCAGCTCACTCCACCTTTCCCTGTTTTTGCTTTCACATCTTGGTGCAACGCAAAATCCAAAAAAGGAGTGGTTTATTACCAGAAAATCATTGCTCCTCTTCTAGAAATTTCTTGCCCAGATACCCTTTATCCAAGCATCACCTATGTTTTCTAATAAATAAATCAAATCAATCAAGGGAAGCATCATGACAAATCCCCACCTCAGAAGCGTTCTCGTTGGGTAACCCATCTTCTGCTAGAAGTTCATCTGATCCGGGACTGACAGTTTCCCAGAGAAATCCATTTTCATTTCCCAGAGAAAGCCTATCAAAATCTTTATCCACAACTCCAGAATGAGGTCCAATATACGATATATATTTATCTGCAATACCATGCATGGTAATATTGTGTCAGTTTCTTAACCAGAAAGGGGTCCTGACTTTGTTATTTACCCTCTAAAAGACATTGTTCTATGCAGTAAAACAAATGACAAACCTACAGTAAGAAACAAGGGTCCAAGATACTTTATGAACCACAAAATAAGATGCACTTTTATTTCTACACTAAATATTGTAATTACATTCAACCTAGATGATGAAGTGTCAAATTTCGAAGGATTCTGTGACAAGAACTATATATAGCAAAAGCGAATAGAGAAAAGTAGATTATAAAACATTCTTACCAGCCAAGCTGCGGAGGGCATTCTCAGCAGCCTGTTGCTGAGCATCCTTCCTTGTTTTACCCATTCCAACACCAATTTTCTCACCAGTAAACAAAACCTACACCAATGATTCAGACTATTGAGTTATTGAGTTAACAAAAGTTCAAATTAACATAGACTGACCTTTAGGCTTTCCAAAATCAAATTTTGGCAAATGGTGAGATGACATCAATTCAACTCCGAAGGAAATATATGTCACCAAACCTAANCTACACACACGAGAGAGATAGAGGGGTGTTACAGTTGGAGCCCTACACATTATTTAATGCATTGGGAGGAGGTCATAGAGATCAGATGAATCAATTTGTTCAGAGAAGAACCCTAGGTAGACTCCTAAGGCTTTTGCAAGAAGAAATGAACCAAGCAGTATTTGATCACATTAATAAGGAGGGGAAGAAGATGAAAAACAGAACACGTTAAAATTTTCAAAAATGATAAGGAAACATCCAATTTTTACCTAAAGAATTAATATATACCGTCTACAGGGGAAAATTGTCACAANGTGAGATGACATCAATTCAACTCCGAAGGAAATATATGTCACCAAACCTAAAACCATGACATTAACCTTTTTTCATTGTTCGAACACCCAAGAACCAAGTCACAATTAATTTCTCATGTTCTTATCCTCAGTAATTTCGGCCATAAAGGTTATATCAGAGGGATNAAAACCATGACATTAACCTTTTTTCATTGTTCGAACACCCAAGAACCAAGTCACAATCAATTTCTCATGTTCTTATCCTCAGTAATTTCGGCCATAAAGGTTATATCAGAGGGAAGTCTTTGTTCATATGAGGATGTGTGCGTTGGGTGTTGGGGATGGGGCACTTGGGTTTATCACACAATTATCGTTGGAGATATCCCATACTAACCTCAAAAGAAAACTGCAAATCCTCACTCGTGCTGCTTACAATAGACTTGAATTCAACCTACATGGCAAGACACAACATGATGAACCACAGGGTTAAAAAAAGAAAAAAAGAAAAGGCAAAGACGGACAATATGTGCGCAGTAATGGACACATTTGGCTTACCTTTGAGCTGCATTTGCGTCCAATTTCATGCAGCACTCCAATAGACAGAGAAGATGGAAGCAAGTTCACTTTTCCACCTTCAGTGGGAAGTTCCTTGCTGTTGGAGGACGCATGATTCTGAGACACACCAGCCTCTGCCAAAAAACCAAGCAAACCACTCAACAAAGAGAAAAATTGGTTGTCAAGCATGGCACGTTACTACACAAAAAGACTAAAAACCACTGAATATGAAGCTTTCAGTATTCTGATTGTGCTGAGCATTTACAGAAAGCTTAGGCAAGTGATGAATAATGTTGTGGCCTAAACAAACAAAGCAAACCAGGATTTTATTTGGCTCCGTCATGGAACAAGCTATTATAGAGAAGGTTGGTTTTCCAATGATTCACATGGTCCCTGCTAATACACCATCTTTATATTGAATGTTATTAACCAATACAAGGTTGAAAAATAAAGCAAGCAAAACACTTATTTATTAATGCCAAGCCAGTTGCAGAATTTCATGTTTGGTCTTCCTGGGGTTACTTGACTCTGTAATGAGACGACCTGGTATAAAGCAGGTTGGTTTTCCAATGATTCACATGGTCCCTGCTAAAACCGTCTTTGAATTTGAAGGTATTTACCGATTCAAGTTTGAGAAACTAGAGCAAGCATTGCATTTCTTTATTAATGCCAAGCCAGTTGCAGCCTGGGCAGGGGAAGTATCTACTGTGGTAATACTTAATACAAGATGCCTTGGTGCACTTGTACACTACACACACGAGAGAGATAGAGGGGTGTTACAGTTGGAGCCCTACACATTATTTAAAGCATTGGGAGGAGGTCATAGAGATCAGATGAATCAATGTGTTCAGAGAACAACCCTAGGTAGACTCCTAAGGCTTTTGCAAGAAGAAATGAACCAAGCAGTATTTGATCACATTAATAAGGAGGGGGAGAAGATGAAAAACAGAACATGTTAAAATTTTCAAAAATGATAAGGAAACATCCAATTTTTACCTAAAGAATAAATATATACCGTCTACAGGGGAAAATTGTCACAGAAGCTCCAACATTTCACCAGAAATCCTAATCAATTAAAAAATAGGATACCGGGAACCAGAACTCAGTGGGAAACATGTGAAAATCGAACAAATCGAACAAATTGGTAAAGGTAGCCCATCCAAAGGATGAAGTATGTTTGGGTGAAATATGAATAATGACCACCTAAACCTGGCCTAATAAGCAGCAAATCAAAGTCTTACGACTACAAAAAATTAATCGTAGAAAAGCATTATAATTAGCACAATTGCACAAAGAAGCATAGCTGATATGTATCAGCGGTATTGTGGAGATTCATGAGTCATTTTCATTTCTTACCCCAAAAAAGATTTTTTTCTTATATCAGTTCGCAAAAGTTTTTAAAGTTTCACCATACGATTCACTATGCATATGATCAATTGATTTAAAATGGAGGTTAACCTTAACCGCATTGTTCTATTTGGGAAATAGTATAATTGTATAAACAATGAGGAAGAACAAAGGCTTTCTTGAGTCAAGAACACCGTGAATGTGATTCACTGTTTGCACCAGCAGAGGTGTGCGCCACTGTCTTGTTTATATTCCACATAGATATCGTGTCATCTTGGAAAGTGTGTTGGCGTCCATATCCAGATAAAATGTCTCTATATGGGTCAAGTACTACACACTCCTATGCTATATCCATCTGTTCTAGTAGCTAATTATTTTGCCAATGCACATATCACTCACTTACAAGACTCAAATTTGAATCAGGAATAGATAACCAGCATTCAACGATGTTCTTAGCAGCATGGGTGTGCAAAAATTCTTCTCCACAACAGGCCAGCTCAACTGGTACCTCCAGTCACCCACAACTAACAGGTGAATGATCACCCATGTTCCACACTCGAAACTTGGGAAAGGCATACGATATGCATCCGACACTTCCTATAAGGTATGGACTTGAAAAGCATATTCCCGCAATTGAGATTTATCACAAGTGTACACAACATTCTCTTTACATCTTGCTTTTGTTGCCTAAATGCTTTGAAGTGAGTGAACTGCCCAATTCGAACACTTCATGTTGCATAGAACAGCATATCACCCCAGCAAGATGAACAATACCACAAAATATAATTTTTTGGCCGATGCCCTACAACCAGATTTGGAGATTAGATGAATCCAATACATACACACATACCAACCCACACCCTTATGCGAATCCATGTAACATAGGAACCAGCACCAAAATTGCTGGACAAGCAAATTAATTGCAATTACTGATATACTCAAGTACCTGAGAACTGACTCGCCACCGGAAGATTCTGTTTCTGCATTTCATGCCCTGGACCTGCCTGTAAATAAACAAAATTCAGCTAGATAACATAATGGTTATAACTCTGCGAATGACACCTGTACATGATTGTCAAAAGATGCAAGTCGATACCCTCAAACAAATGCAACGCAAGTAAGAGAGCACGAACCTCTTCGGTCTTCGCTTGGGCTACTTGTGATGCTAACCCTACAGGAGTAGAAGCTGATGGTCCATAACTAATTGAATTATGACGAGCTCGTGCTTTATCAGTTCTTAATGCATCAGATTCCGGACCAAATCCTGATGCTCGGTTATCAAAATGTCCTCTATTGATATCTTCTTCCACTAACCAGCCTCCTTGTGCTTGTATAGGTGGTGCTGGTGGTTGTGCAGGTAATCTAGATAAAATAGGAGGTTCCCCTGATCCCCGATATCGTGCATCTTGACCATGGTTCATCAAGAGTAATCTCCTCTTCACATCAGGATCAGATTCAGAGAAACTGCTATCTCGTCTAAATGGAGCTCCTAGCAAGCTAGGTTCTATAAAAAATTCCCAGAGAAAAAATATGGCAAAAAAGCAACATTATTACATCTGGTACTGTATATCTTGATTTGGAAACCACAACTAAACCATAAGATGTGTATTAAATAACATCCATACTCTCTGAAGGTAGGACTGCTCTTAAGGATGCTGGACCAAATACATTTGGTATGGATGACACCGGGAGCTGAAAGATGTCAGATCTTAGCTCAGGACTAGTGCTGGGATGAGTGGTAGCATCTGTGACATTCTTGTCATCCTGGATGTTTTAAATGAAACCAGAAAATGGAAGTAGACCGTGAAAAACAAGATGAGTGACCAATCTGCAACATTTTTCTCATACTAGAACATATAAAAATTACATGCACATACTAATATAAATAAATAAAAAAACACACATCAAATATTGCAATGTACCAAAAATATGTGATTAAATAACTTGTTGGTTAACAAGACAAGAGTTATACACATNATAAAAAAACACACATCAAATATTGCAATGTACCAAAAATATGTGATTAAATAACTTTTTGGTTAACAAGACAAGAGTAATACACAGNAGCTCCAACATTTCACCAGAAATCCTAATCAATTAAAAAATAGGATACCGGGAACCAGAACTCAGTGGGAAACATGTGAAAATCGAACAAATCGAACAAATTGGTAAAGGTAGCCCATCCAAAGGATGAAGTATGTTTGGGTGAAATATGAATAATGACCACCTAAACCTGGCCTAATAAGCAGCAAATCAAAGTCTTACGACTACAAAAAATTAATCGTAGAAAAGCATTATAATTAGCACAATTGCACAAAGAAGCATAGCTGATATGTATCAGCGGTATTGTGGAGATTCATGAGTCATTTTCATTTCTTACCCCAAAAAAGATTTTTTTCTTATATCAGTTCGCAAAAGTTTTTAAAGTTTCACCATACGATTCACTATGCATATGATCAATTGATTTAAAATGGAGGTTAACCTTAACCGCATTGTTCTATTTGGGAAATAGTATAATTGTATAAACAATGAGGAAGAACAAAGGCTTTCTTGAGTCAAGAACACCGTGAATGTGATTCACTGTTTGCACCAGCAGAGGTGTGCGCCACTGTCTTGTTTATATTCCACATAGATATCGTGTCATCTTGGAAAGTGTGTTGGCGTCCATATCCAGATAAAATGTCTCTATATGGGTCAAGTACTACACACTCCTATGCTATATCCATCTGTTCTAGTAGCTAATTATTTTGCCAATGCACATATCACTCACTTACAAGACTCAAATTTGAATCAGGAATAGATAACCAGCATTCAACGATGTTCTTAGCAGCATGGGTGTGCAAAACTTCTTCTCCACAACAAGCCAGCTCAACTGGTACCTCCAGTCACCCACAACTAACAGGTGAATGATCACCCATGTTCCACACTCGAAACTTGGGAAAGGCATAGGATATGCATCCGACACTTCCTATAAGGTATGGACTTGAAAAGCATATTCCCGCAATTGAGATTTATCACAAGTGTACACAACATTCTCTTTACATCTTGCTTTTGTTGCCTAAATGCTTTGAAGTGAGTGAACTGCCCAATTCGAACACTTCATGTTGCATAGAACAGCATATCACCCCAGCAAGATGAACAATACCACAAAATATAATTTTTTGGCCGATGCCCTACAACCAGATTTGGAGATTAGATGAATCCAATACATACACACATACCAACCCACACCCTTATGCGAATCCATGTAACATAGGAACCAGCACCAAAATTGCTGGACAAGCAAATTAATTGCAATTACTGATATACTCAAGTACCTGAAAACTGACTCGCCACCGGAAGATTCTGTTTCTGCATTTCATGCCCTGGACCTGCCTGTAAATAAACAAAATTCAGCTAGATAACATAATGGTTATAACTCTGCGAATGACACCTGTACATGATTGTCAAAAGATGCAAGTCGATACCCTCAAACAAATGCAACGCAAGTAAGAGAGCACGAACCTCTTCGGTCTTCGCTTGGGCTACTTGTGATGCTAACCCTACAGGAGTAGAAGCTGATGGTCCATAACTAATTGAATTATGACGAGCTCGTGCTTTATCAGTTCTTAATGCATCAGATTCCGGACCAAATCCTGATGCTCGGTTATCAAAATGTCCTCTATTGATATCTTCTTCCACTAACCAGCCTCCTTGTGCTTGTATAGGTGGTGCTGGTGGTTGTGCAGGTAATCTAGATAAAATAGGAGGTTCCCCTGATCCCCGATATCGTGCATCTTGACCATGGTTCATCAAGAGTAATCTCCTCTTCACATCAGGATCAGATTCAGAGAAACTGCTATCTCGTCTAAATGGAGCTCCTAGCAAGCTAGGTTCTATAAAAAATTCGCAGAGAAAAAATATGGCAAAAAAGCAACATTATTACATCTGGTACTGTATATCTTGATTTGGAAACCACAACTAAACCATAAGATGTGTATTAAATAACATCCATACTCTCTGAAGGTAGGACTGCTCTTAAGGATGCTGGACCAAATACATTTGGTATGGATGACACCGGGAGCTGAAAGATGTCAGATCTTAGCTCAGGACTAGTGCTGGGATGAGTGGTAGCATCTGTGACATTCTTGTCATCCTGGATGTTTTAAATGAAACCAGAAAATGGAAGTAGACCGTGAAAAACAAGATGAGTGACCAATCTGCAACATTTTTCTCATACTAGAACATATAAAAATTACATGCACATACTAATATAAATAAATAAAAAAACACACATCAAATATTGCAATGTACCAAAAATATGTGATTAAATAACTTGTTGGTTAACAAGACAAGAGTTATACACATAATGCACACATGACATGCCAATAGAAGACAAATGCACAGAGGCCTATCAGTTGGTTCAATCTCTAAGAACCTTCAGAACTAGTAAAACATGCATGTCAACGTGCCAGTCTTCAATCTCTAAAAACCTTTAGAAGACCTTTAGAACTACTAAAAGACATATACCAATGTGCCAGTCAAATATTTAACAGAAGGCATGCGGAAGACACATACTGGGATGTTAAAAAACAAACATATAGATACTTACCAATTGATTCAATCTCTGAGCAACTTCAGGACCATTCATTCCCTCAGCAAAAGGAGTATTTGGATTGCCATTTGGTACAAAACTAGCATCCTAAAAGCAATGATAGCACACAAACATATATGTCGATTTTCATCAACAGGTTAGGCATCAAATATAGTTAATTCATACCTCTGACATCAAGTAGTTGCTGACATCTGGTGCAGAAGGTAAATTTGTGACTTCGTCTTCATAGAATAGTTCGAAAATTCTTCGTAATAGATTCTCATCAAACTCTCTGATTAACACAGCAAATAAATGTATATCATGTGCGGCACAACAAATTATTTCAAAAAATTATGACAATCATGTGCCAACTGCTTAATCTTCAAACTAAAAGCCTCAATTATACATGATGAAATTGCCCTTACTTGAAAAAGCCGCCTCTAACATTGCATGCAACGTTTCTCGCTACACATAGGACTGGGACAGCGTTTGCGGTCTGTTTGAGAAAATTATTCTATTAGTATCACTTCAACAAAAATGCTAATCAATTTCCTCACAAGCTCAAGGAAAGAGAAAAAATAATACCTCTGCCTGAGGAGCATAATACGGAGTAAATGCAGGGACTACATGAACTCGAGGTTGATCCTTCTCTTCCCAAACTTTCAAGCGATCATCAATTACCATTGCCATCTTTGGATGGCAGTTGCCAACTTGGAACACATTAAGCAAAGACTTCCTAGCCCCTATGACAAAGAAAACATTAACGGATCAAATAATACTCGCAGGGTAAAAAAAGAGGTTCCTTATAAGAAATAGAGCAAGAACAACAGAAGCAATGCGGAATTATTAACTTCAATCTAAAAGCAAAAACCGAAGGAAGAATATCTTTTGGTAGTTCCAAGTTCTGGCTGGTATTAAATTATCAAACAAATAAATAAATCTTAAACTTTGAACAGATGTCGCTGTCAACATAACCCCTCGATATGTTATATGGTGCTTGCCTGATTTGACGCATACAACACGGTCCAATAGGTTGTTTGAGCTAATTAAGTGTGCCTCTGGGTCAAGCAGCCTCCACATCTCTAATGCATAATCCCTTTCAGCCATAGTACAGACATAGACTTCAAACCTTTTACGCCCTTTCGCAATTAAATAACTTCTCAGATCCTCCCAAGCAGGACGTAACCTAACGAGCACACTAGTGTCACGGATCTGCACGTGTAAACAACCAATCACTAAAAGAAAATCTGAGGTATTACAACTTTTGAAAAACTGGAGCATAAACAAATCAATTTTAAAAGACAAGCCATGCATGTAATCATCCACCCCCATTGCAACATTAAAAACAGTATCTTAATCCTACAAATCCCTTAGATAATCTATCTTCAATTTAAGTTCCAACAAAATTTCCGAAAGTGGTTCAGTATTCCTTCTTATGAAAAATAAATAGTCTACTGGTGAAATATTTGAATGATTATAGCAATATAAATTGTTCAAGTAGATTTGGCAGGAGAAAATGCAAACAGCAACCATCAATGCACACCTCCTACATCTGAGGAAAAAATATGCACTCAGTAAGTTACATCATAAACATGGTGACATCGGGAGCTTAAGCTATTTGACAGAAAATAAACCATCATCAAATTAGCATCATCTGGCTAGAATTGCTATGAACACTTGCTCACAACATGATGCAACCATTTTTTTTTTTAAACCTTTTTTTTTTAAAGGAAAAGTTTTATTGATTGAAACGAAAAAATTACACGAATCAAAAAATTACAATCAAGAACAAAAGCCAAAATAGTGGCTTTAATCCAGCAAGACAAACAATATGACAAACTCTCCTTCAGCTACCCAGTCAACAACAGAATGCTTCAGCTACCACCAACACCTTATGGGGGAAGAAAACGCACCATACAAAGCCTTTTCCTTACAATAGGTAAACCCAAACGACAACATGATGCAACCATGGCATAGCTCATGTAGTTCTAAATCGGGTATTAATTCCATTTCATGTGAAGTATNTATGGGGGAAGAAAACGCACCATACAAAGCCTTTTCCTTACAATAGGTAAACCCAAATGACAACATGATGCAACCATGGCATAGCTCATGTAGTTCTAAATCGGGTATTAATTCCATTTCATGTGAAGTATCATTGCAGCATGTGAGCATGGTTGCAAACCATTTCAATATCCCAATTATTGGGTCAAGCAATAGACAAATAAAGCTGCACATGAAGCTAGTCTAATGACGTCAAACATTCAATTTGTTTGATTGGCAGAATCATATTATTGGAGCTGCACACTCAAATAATGTTCTTGCTTCAAGGTTCAATACAATTTCTAAATCAAGTTTCTTTCAATTTACAAACCCCAAAAACCTTTACCGCATGTCCAAATCCTTAAATTCTCTTAAATATTTAACCTTGTCTTTTTTTCATTCAAAGATTATTAAATCTTTTCACACGTGTAAGAAAGACGATTGATCATAGTTTTGAAGATCTGAAAAAGAATCCAAAAATATCACAGGACATTTTAGAAAGAAAAAAATCCAAACATTTAAGCAATTGAAACATAAAATGAATGTAAAAAACATGATTCCACAAGAACAAATAGAAGTGCATTAGGATTCCAAGTGGCACATTCATTCGAAGGCATATAAGTGCACTAATCATAAGGTGCTCAACATTGAAAATAGAGCTGAATATCTACCAAGTATCTGCACGTTTCTATGTAAAAGTTACATTAGGTTGTTAGCAAATGAAACGTGGAAAATTGCTTATTTCGTCGCCTCAATCAACCTAAACTTTCGATTTTCATAAACCAACAAATCATCAAACAAGACATCTCCATAAAAAAAACAAGAGTAATTGATGATATAGATAACCGCNTCATAAGGTGCTCAACATTGAAAATAGAGCTGAATATCTACCAAGTATCTGCACGTTTCTATGTAAAAGTTACGTTAGGTTGTTAGCAAATGAAACGTGGAAAATTGCTTATTTCGTCGCCTCAATCAACCTAAACTTTCGATTTGCATAAACCAACAAATCATCAAACAAGACATCTCCATAAAAAAAACAAGAGTAATTGATGATATAGATAACCGATAATGAGATATCATCCACAAGGTCCTCTAACCTCCGGATTAATGCGAGTAAGCACTATATTCTTCTCTAGCAACCTTATAACCGGCCGAACAACCTTCTCATGTCCGCTGGAAGACGGTGCAACCTCCTCATGCTGAGTCATATATAACTTTCCACTATCCTTGACACAATCATTCTCCGTATACTGCTTCAACAATGCCCGATCCTCCACATACCGTTTCAGCTCAGCCGACATCCCCGACACCCTAATTGGATCATTTTCACGGGCAATCCAACCCTGTAAAGCATCAATCCTATCCTCAAACGACTTCATCGTGTTCGCGACAATCAAAGTCTCATCAAGGTCGAACACAATCGCCAAACACCGCAAATTCAACATCCCCAAACACGCCGTGTACAAACCGGACGGCACTGAACAGCACCAAAAACACGGAAACTTCTTCTTCTTACTCGGCATTGCCACTAGATGCACCTCTTCATCTCCAACCAACACCACAGCCGTCTGTAAAACCAGATAAAAACTTCTGAAAATGAAAACAAACACGAAATTGCCTATATATTATAAAAAANGATCCAAACTCCACCTAAAAATCCATCCAAACTCTACCTAAAAATCCATCCAAACAGCCCATATTGTCCCACCTACCCATTCCTAAAAGCCCATATGATCTTGCAGCAGAGACCAATCCGTACCGTACATGCAAATGATTCAACAATAGTATAATTTTTTCGGGTGTATGGTTCGGCCCTTGATCTATAATGACTTCTGGGGCTAGGTAGGTCCATGGGATGTAGACCAATCCATAAAACTATGGCCCATCAAAGAAAAATTATATTTATATAGTTCACCAAAAAATATAAATAAATTATGAAAATGGCGAGTTGAGCTTAAACTAGCACGTATGGTTTTGTTGGTAAGCATTTTGTTTGCATATATTCACCAATTTTAGAGGAGACTGTGGGGGGTTTGAATCCTGTCCATCTCAATATGGGATGGCAGGAGTAACACGAGGACTCTAGGACACTAATGAGCATGTGTTGGTAGGATGTGATTTAAATGATGAATTTTGTGAAAAAAATATAATATGTTTTTTAAATTTGTATTTGGTTTAAAATTTAATGCTTTAGATTCATGGGGTAAATGAATTCCGGCTCATCTAAGTCCATAGTGAATAATTGATTAAAACCCACAAAAAGGGGTTTGATAAAACTCATGGAGGGTTTCAAAATAGAAAGGGTGAATTTGTAGATAAAAATATTATTTGACTCCAAAAATTTATTTTTTATTTATCTAATAATGGTCATTTTAGCAAATTGAGTAGTATAATTTGACATAAATTCATGAACTCCACATGAATTTATATCATCTACCAAACAAGGGATTTGATTAAAAAAAATTTGTAATTCCATGTATAAATCATTGAGGCTGAATTTAGGAAGATTTCATAAATTCAATTTAAACCCCCCAAAAAATAAACATGCAAATAAACCCGACGAATTATGGTAGACCAAGTTCAAAATACATTGTCAATTATTCGTACCTAGTTAGACATAGAATTTGAAATGATTTTTATCCTCTATTTTCAACTTTATCATGCTTAATTATTGAATTGAGGATTTTTTCTGGAATCTATAATGTATTTTTTGCGGATAAATCATGATGGATATGAATTTGACTTTAAAAGAAAAGCATGTGCACGCCCAAGACATGCGACGAGGTGCAAGGCCTATGGGGTGTGCAATCTGATGAGATACATCTCACCGATAAATTTTAACTGCATCATCAATTTGCTATTTCAATCCCAAGATAATAGTTCAAACCAACTTTAGCTATTGAAAATGAATTTTCCCTTTCTGGGGCACCTGCTTTGAAAAGTAGTTGAAAAAACTTGAACCGTAAAAGAGGCTGATAGCCTAAGGAGTAAGCTAGGAACCATGTAAGAAATTTCTCACAGCTCAATTCTAGTCAATTCATTTTACCTTTACCGACTTAATCATCGAAGGGCCGATCCTCGGAACCCCTTCGATCTTCAACTTCTTTGCAAGAGTTCGGCGGAAATCACCAAGTCGCCAAACAATCCATGGGTGTTGCTTTTGGGATCAATAAATTATGTTCATACGTATCTTTTTTTTTTTTTTTTGGATTAACGGACAAGAATGTTTGAATCAGTTTATAAGACCTCAACGAATTTTTTTTTCTAGTCTGATGAAAGACAGACCACCCACTTCAAAATTAAAATATTTATAAAAAATAAATTCCTTGTGACCTAACTCTAAAGATTATCAAGATTCAAATATACATATCCGTCTATGAGTTGCATTTAATTTCACTCTAAGATTTATCATATGTCATATTCATCTAAGCCATAGCATACAACTCTATCACTTGTAATTGTTGCAGATATATTGTGTGCTAGTACGCATACTAAGGGTAAATAGTGAACTATATTTTACACCCTTTAAATCTGCACATTATCTCTACATGATCCATAAACTACAAGGAAACAATAAAGTTCTAGATCTTTAAAGCCCATTTGATACATTAATCTGGATTGAAAATAAGGTTTTCATCCTAAATCTTGAATTGCTATATGTAAATAGTTAATTATTTAGTAATTTAATATGGGGATAAGACTATTACCGTAATCCAATTCCTAATAATTGTGGGTATCTAAATTCATGGCTAATGGTGACAATCTCATACCTACGTTGATTGGGTATATTATAAAAATAAAATAAAATTTTCAAAATGAAACTCTTTTCTAAAATTAAATTCATTTCAAAAATTAAGTTATTCTCTTAAAATCCGTATCTTTTCTAAAATTATGTTCTTGACAAAGACATTAATTCTCACACTAGATTACTGACAATAAATAAACACTAAATATGAAATTATTATGGTAATTGAAACACGAGTGTCTCATTAATAGGAAGGGTGGAGCTATTCTCACTCAATAAATCTTCATTCCCGTATCATTTAATTTTTCATTATCAAACTATTAAGTCCACATCTTCTACACCTATTTTATTAGTAACTAAATTCACCTCATGCTACATACACCCCCTTTAATAAGTAAATTCATTTTATATTTTGTCATAATAAAAGTTTCATTCTCTATCTCATCTCATATACTCACAAAAATATTTTTTAAATTTGAATCTTTTCAATAAGATACAAGTTAATATTACTTATCAATTTAATTATATGTTTGATTTCATGTTTGTTATATGAATTTTTCATTATTTTCGGTATGTTTTGATATTTCTATCAAGTTTAATAATTTTTTATTTAGAATTTATATGTGTGTATACATATGTATGCTTTGAGATTATTTTTTCTTTTTTATCTTGTTTAGATTTTACATCTATGCTGCTTATNCTAAGGAGTAAGCTAGGAACCATGTAAGAAATTTCTCACAGCTCAATTCTAGTCAATCCATTTTACCTTTACCGACTTAGTCATCGAAGGGGNTTTTTATCTTGTTTAGATTTTACATCTATGCTGCTTATTTTTTTTCTTGTTCAATTTTGTGCTTGTGCTTGATACTTGTTTTTTTTTTTCATGTTCGGTTTTTCTCTCTTGTGGTTTTATTTACTTTTTCTTTTTTATCTTGTATTTGTGTTTGATGCTTATTTTTTTTTTTCATATTCGATATTGCGTCTTGTGATANGTTTGAATCAGTTTATAAGACCTCAACGAATTTTTTTTTCTAGTCTGATGAAAGACAGACCACCCACTTCAAAATTAAAATATTTATAAAAAATAAATTCCTCGTGACCTAACTCCAAAGATTATCAAGATTCAAATATACATATCCGTCTATGAGTTGCATTTAATTTCACTCTAATATTTATCATATGTCATATTCATCTAAGCCATAGCATACAACTCTATCACTTGTAATTGTTGCANGTTTTTCTTGTTTCATAAATATATTTATAAATTCAAATTAATTATCTTTTTTTATTATTTTTTTTACGATAATTTTTTTCATCAAAAGAGTGTACATAGGATGAATGAATTTAACTATTAATAGAATGAATGTAACATGTGGATAAGTTTAATTACTAATGGAGAGGGTATAGAATGAGTGAATTTAGTAATTTGATAACGAAAAATTAAATAGGATAGAAATAGAGATTTGTGAGGTGTGAATAGTCCCACCCTAATAAGAATGAAATACCCGTTCACAATTAAAATTACACTTATCCAAACGTGCTCTAAGAGATATTTCAATTATGTTTTATTATGCACATTTTTCATGAATTGTAATAGGAGTTTATAATTGATTTATCTCTCGTAAATATCTTAATTTTTGTATATTTAATCGGATCAAAAAAATGATTAGTTGAACTAATTATTATTTAGTTGAGATGTATGAAAATTGATAAAAAAAACAAAAAAACAAAAAAAATGCCTCTCACACGTCACACACATGACCAATATTGCTGGTAAATTAACCGGCGGCGCTGTTTTTTTTTTTTTTTTTNCTCATACCTACGTTGATTGGGTATATTATAAAAATAAAATAAAATTTTCAAAATGAAACTCCTTTCTAAAATTAAATTCATTTCAAAAATTAAGTTATTCTTTTAAAATCCGTATCTTTTCTAAAATTATGTTCTTGACAAAGACATTAATTCTCACACTAGATTACTGACAATAAATAAACACTAAATATGAAATTATTATGGTAATTGAAACACGAGTGTCTCATTAATAGGAAGGGTGGAGCTATTCTCACTCAATAAATCTTCATTCCTGTATCATTTAATTTGTCATTATCAAACTATTAAGTCCACATCTTCTACACCTATTTTATTAGTAACTAAATTCACCTTATGCTACATACACCCCCTTTAATAAGTAAATTCATTTTATATTTTGTCATAATAAAAGTTTCATTCTCTATCTCATCTCATATACTCACAAAAATATTTTTTAAATTTGAATCTTTTCAATAAGATACAAGTTAATATTACTTATCAATTTAATTGTATGTTTGATTTCATGTTTGTTATATGAATTTTTCATTATTTTCGGTATGTTTTGATATTTCTATCAAGTTTAATAATTTTTTATTTAGAATTTATATGTGTGTATACATATGTATGCTTTTAGATTATTTTTTCTTTTTTATCTTGTTTAGATTTTACATCTATGCTGCTTATTTTTTTCTTGTTCAATTTTGTGCTTGTGCTTGATACTTGTTTTTTTTTTTCATGTTCGGTTTTTCTCTCTTGTGGTTTTATTTACTTTTTCTTTTTTATCTTGTATTTGTGTTTGATGCTTATTTTTTTTTCATATTCGATATTGCGTCTTGTGATTTTGCATCTTATAGTTTTACTTATTTTTTTAATCTTTGCTTAATTTTTTTCCTTCTTGTTTCGGGTTGCTCCTCTCTTTATGATTTTTCCTTATTTCATTTTTTTTTCTTGTTTTGACATGCTTATTTTGCTTTATTTGTTTTGTTTTTGGTTGTTTGTTTTTTTGTTTTAGTTTTACTTGTTTCTTTGTTTTTCTTGTTTCATAAATATATTTATAAATTCAAATTAATTATCTTTTTTTATTATTTTTTTTACGATAATTTTTTTCATCAAAAGAGTGTACATAGGATGAATGAATTTAACTATTAATAGAATGAGTGTAACATGTGGATAAGTTTAATTACTAATGGAGAGGGTATAGAATGAGTGAATTTAGTAATTTGATAACGAAAAATTAAATAGGGTAGAAATAGAGATTTGTGAGGTGTGAATAGTCCCACCCTAATAAGAATGAAATA